CGTATCCTATAGACAGAGAAAGACATTATATAAAGTTAATTTCAATGATTTGATAATTTTTCTTCTTTTGATACTTTTATCATTACTGTCATGGGCAAGGTCTTCTTTCAGTGAGAATTGATTACTGTCAATGGTCTTTTATTGAAGAAACGACCAAGGTATTTCATTACAAGTTATCTCGTTTAAATTCATAATAATAATAATAATAATAATAATAATAATAATATTTTAATTACATAGATTCCTTTTCATATATATTTTAGAATGAATGCTAACTTTTCTAAAATTTCACTAAAATTATAAAACTTCTAAATTGTGTTGAGTTTTTACAGCTCATCTGTACTTTCAAAATACAAACCTTTCTATAAAATAAAAAGATTCGAATACTTTATTTTAAACTTTTTATTAAAAAATTTGAAAAAATTACTGTGAAATCCCGGTCGAGGAGTGCAGAAATTATTACAAAGTCTCAAATCTCTATGTAATTACAAAAGTACTTTTACATTTATCATAAAACAACAATAGGATGAACAATGTGCTTTACACGTATACTTTCTTGATATAAAATTTTTAAAGTTTGAAAGATTTTTTAGGCCATTAAATGTAAGACGAAGTTAGAGTAATTACTTTTTTTTTCAATTTTACCTATTAATTATTTATTGCCATTTGAATTCATAAACAATAACTTATTATAGTCATTAATTACAAAAAAAAAGGGATAAATTTAAAAGTTACATACTTTTTTTACAATTTAAATATTATACTCCTTCTATTAAAAAATGTAAGACATTTTTTGAAAAGTTAGATGTTAAAAAATGTAAGACATTTTTAGCCTTTCGAGATGTAATCATTACCTTTTTTTTTCAAAAATACCTTTATTGATGATAACTTTATATTTATTATAGGGTGTTTAATAGAAATAAGTATGAAAAGGTAAGATTAGTTTGAAAATAGGTGAGTGCTTTATTAAGGGTAAGATTTAATTAAAATACCTTACATTTTTAAATAGAGGAATAAGTAACATTTTCTAATAAGTAACATTTCCTAATAAGCACCAAGTTTGTTAACTTCCTCTAATATTAAAAAACCCAATAGTATATAGAACATTATATAGATAGATATACTATAAGATTCGTTATGCATGTCTACATTAAAATTTTTAATAGCATATTATATTCTAAAACTTTTTATCATGTACTTATTAAAAATATAAAATATTATTTTATTTTAAATTTCTTAGTCCTGTACATATTAAAAATCCCCACTACAACTTAAAATCTGTCTAATATAATTGAAACGATGCATAGAAGATTAACATAGTTCCTGCTCAAGAATGACATGCACAGAAAAGAATCTAACCTCGATAATAGTGTACTATTTATTAATAATTTAAATAACACATAAAATTTTATTAAAATTACATAAATGAAAAAGTCAACATAATGCTCCACGACCGTAAGATTCAAAAAGGGAAAACACTAAAACTTCAAAAATTCAAATTTTAAAAAGGTAAAATGACAATAAAATACCCTTAAATTATATAAATGATAATTTCATCTCTCAAAATGTCATAATACTAATGAAATTTTTAGAAATTTCTTTATCAATAAATTTTTTTAATAAAAAGAAGATTTTTTTGTCAATAAATTTTTTAGTAAAATAACCATTTTATCCTTGTTAAAAATAACAAACTCAATCATAACTTTTGTTTAAAGAATCACAAATTTTATTTTGTAAATCACAAGAGTTGAACAATAAATTACAACTTATTATGTGTAATTTTTATTATTAAAAAATAAGCTCTAATCACAATTTTTATTTAAAGAATAATAACTTTTATCCTGTAAATTGTAAAAATTAAATAAAAAATTATAATTTGAACAAATTCTCAAGATAACAAATTCTATTCACAATTTTTATTTAAAAAATTATAATTTTTAAAAAAATTATAAAAATTAAATAAAAAATTATAATTTATCAATAATGATAAAATAATATTTTTATTAAAAAATTATTGATAAAAAAATTTTCAAAGACTTCATTGAAATTGTAACCGTTTAAGGGATCATATTGCCATTTACATAATCAATATAGGGAGTTCAAATCACCACACAGATCATAGCTCATTGGCCATTGATTATTTTAATCTAACGATTTATAAACTTTAACTTTTTTTCGGGTTGATCCCCACGGTCTCTGAATAGTGATTACTGAAACACTCATCGATTCTTACAGGAATTCCCAAAACAGACAATCTTGAATGCATGAAGGAGTTTCGCCCCATCTCTCTATGTAATGTGAGTTATAAAGTGGTCTCCAAAGTGTTAACGAACAGAATTAAAGGTGTTATCAGCAAATTGGTGGACAAGCATCAAAGTAGTTTTATTCAAGGAAGGCAAGGAAGTGACAATGTGATTATTGCCTAAGAAGTCCTGAATAGAATGAGGAATAGCAAGCGAAAAAAAAGGGATAGTAGTTATAAAAGTAGATTTAGAAAAAGCATATGATAGATTGGATTGGAGATTTGTCAAATGGTGCTTATAGGAAGTTGGGATTACAGGCAAAATTTTGGAATTGATACAGCTTTGCATTAAAAGTCCAACAATGATAATTCTTTGGAATGAGGAGCCTACAGAAGAAATCAAACCTTCAAGAGGGGTTAAGCAAGGGGACCCTATCTCACCTTACATCTTCACACTTTGCATGGAGAAACTTAGCCACATGATTCAAGATGAGATTAACTTGGGCAATTGAAAACCAATAAAGTTGAATAAGAATGGACCACCTATCTCACACCTTTTCTTTGTAGATAACCTTTTCCTATTTGGGGAAGCCTCTTTCGACCAAATTGAAGTAATCAGCAATTGTTTGGAGAGGTTTTGAAACCTTTCAGGTCAAAAGGTAAACAAGATCAAAACTAAGATGAGTGTTTCCAATTCTGTCCACTTCTCTAGAGCTTTGTCTTTAAGCAAACAACGAGGTGTCAGCCTCACTGGGGACCTTGGGAAGTACTTAGGAATCCCTCTATTGATTAAGAGGGCAAACTATTTGAATTTCAAGCCCATTCTGGGAAAGGTCAGAGCCAAACTATCAGGGTGGAAAGGCAAACTACTCACATTTGTTGGGAGATCAATACTCATAAAATCCATACTTACGACAATCTCAAACTACCACATGCAAATCATGATTCTACTTGAGAAATTACTTTAAGAAATTGAGAAGGAAAGTAATGCCTTTCTGTGGGGAAGCAAGGATGGTGAAAAGAAACTTCACCTTGTCTCTTGGGATATAGTTAAACATAAAAAAAAATCAAGCGGTCTAGGAGTTAAGGACTTATAAGTGCAAAATCAAGCCTTTATTCTAAAATTATGCTGGAATTTGGTCACAAATAGAGACTCCTTTTAAGTTAAATTTGTGAGATCCAATTATAAGTGTGGGGATTCTGATAGGCCTATGATTTCCAAAAGGAAAAATGCTTCAGAAATAAGGAAAAGTATGCTTAAAGTTTGGGATAGATTCACAGAGGGCATTGGCAAGCGATGTAACTCGGGTAGAAATTTAAAATTTTGGTGTGATAACTGGTCTATCATGAATAAACCCCTAATCAAGTATGTCAAAGCCAATAGTCTCTCGCTGGAAATTAAAGCCACCATTAAAGATTTTATCTCTCCAAGCGAGGGGTGGGACAAAACTAAAATGGCAAATTGGCTCACTTTCTCCATCATTAGTTGAATCACTAGCACTAGCCCACCAAATGCGTTGAGAGGAAGTGATAAATTTGTGTGGAAACCATCATCAGATGGTGCTTTAACATTAAATCTTCTTATGATTTTCTCCTTGCAGGTACTAATGCGAATGGAGACAGCTTATGGAAAAAAATTTGGAGATATGATGCACCTGAAAAAATGAAAAACTTCATTTGGCTCCTAAGGAACAATAAAGTCCACTCAGCACAACTCAGAGAACGAAGGGGCATAACTATCTCAAGTGCTTGTCCAATGGGATGCATCGAAGAAGAGTCAACTATGCACATAGTTAGAGATTGCAAAATTGCAAGAGATGCATGGAGACAAATTATAAAACCTGAACATTGGAGCGATTTTTTGCAGCAACATTGTCTAAAATGGATTAGATGGAATAACACAAATGATGTTGGCATTGAGTCTATAAAAAAGGTACCCTAGACCACTATTTTTGCTTATGTTTGCTGGGAACTTTAGACCAACAGATTTACAAATTTATTTGGGAATGAAAAGCCCAAATTGCAGATTGACAATAACAAGTGCAAAAGCCTTGACTGATATCAATCTTACTAGGAGAGTTAATATGGGAAAAAACTCCCACAAGCCAAATGATAAATGGCACCCCCCTAAAAAGGGCTTTGTAAGATTGGATGTTGATGGGTCAGTGCATGCTAATGGTCTTGCTATATATAGAGGAGCTTCGATAAATGAGAATGAAAGATGGATCACAGGTTTCTGTGGTAAACTAGGGCAACTTTCACCGGTATTAGCTGAAATTATGGGTATTATTATGGGACTTAAAATTTGCTAATCAGCAGGGGTATTGAAAATAGAAGTCTACATTAATTGTATTGAAGCGATTAACCTCCTAACTAGAAGATTTAATGAGGATCACCCTTTTCAAGACATCCTATCTTATGCTACTAATGTATTAAATAAGAATTGATCTATTTCTATCAATTTTGCTTTTAGGAATGTTGTTATTACCGCTCACAATCTAGCTAGGAGAGCTCACTCCGAGGAGGATTGCCTTCGCGTCTTTGATCATCCATCACCTTAAGCATTTGTAAGAGGTGGATGATGATTGTTGTTAGGTTTTCCTTTAGTCTGCTTTTAATTTCTTGTTTGTTCAGTATTGAATGATATTCAGTTTCTTACTAAAAAAAACACTCATCGGTTTATCAATCTCTCCCTCATTTCTCATCCCCCTGTCTGAAGTATCACCGGGTCTCCCTCACTCACATCTCTTACCTTCTCAATCTCCCCCTCCTCTGCGTCATCGGCTCTCAAACTGGTCTCCCACCTTGGATCTCTCCGCTAGGTCGACCTCTCAACTTCTCCGTTCAAGCTCTTTCTCTGTCGATTTACGATGTCATCCTCCATCTCTGCCTCTTCTCTTTCTCTTTCACTTTCACTATCACACCTCGTCGCCATGGCCTCAGATCTTCTCGTCCACCCCCTCTATTATCTCAGGTTTGCCCAGATCTTTCTCTATCTTGATCATGGAAGAGCCGATGAAGGCAGGATTGTTGTGCCTTCTTTTTTCTTTTTGACTTATTTTCATCATCTTGCTGCTGTTCTTTATTTATTAATTATTTATTCTTTCTATATTTATAAGAATATTTTATAGGATTATTAGTTTTTTTTATTTTTGTTTGGATATGCTGTGCAATTTTCATTTTGAGTTTAGACATGTTTTCTGATTCAACTTCGATTTTGATTATTATCCTGGTTTCAATCTAACCTCATTCGCTTAGTCGTTATTTTTTTTCTCAGGTTTTTCCCATTTTCACATTGTTCTTTTTTTTCTATTGATCTCCTCACGGGCTTTTGCTTCCATTTGTTTTTGCATTTGGTCTTGATTTGAATTTATTTGTGGAATTTTTAGAAGCAGGCTTTTGGTATTAGGTTTTTTTTTTAGAAAAATGACAATCAAGTCTCAAAGGATAATTTTATACCATTAAGTCCCAGCTAATTTTAAAAAGCCAATCAAGTCCCATGCTGTTTTTTCCCAATCAGAATTACAAAGAAAATGATGAAAATACCCCTATGAGTAAATATAACATGTATACTCATCAGCTTCAACATTTCCCTCCCGATTTATCTCTTTCCCGCCCATTGATAAGAGCTGCATGTAAGTGGTGGAGCTATACATTGAAGAATACCCATTCTTGAAATAGAGTTATGCTTGAAAGAGGTGAGTTGCCTTATTATTGACTCAAGGAAGCTTAAGGAGTTGTGTTGATGCGTGCAGACAGGTTTTTTTTTTACAAATCCTTGCATCTGAACAAAAAGGTTTACTCCATGAAGGTTTGATTTCTTACAAAATGGCTTTCCTGAGGAAAAAGATGGAACGGTTTTCTACAATTGAACATGAAAGATTTTTTTTATTTCATGTTTTTAAATATTTGGCATGAAGATTCGACATTTTGCAACTGAAAGTGTAAGAAATTACTATCGAGTGTCCATATTTTAAGATGGAACGCTCTCACTGTTTAACTAATGCGAAAATCACTTATGTCAAAAGTAACTTGTTTCTAAGTAATATATTATTACATTTTATTTTGTTTCTTGTAGGTTAATATTATTGGGTACGATGAAAAGTAGTTGTTTAAAGAAATTTTT